TAGTATAAAAAAATTACAACAATATAGTAACTATTATGCAATATGTACTACAAAAGGACTAAAATCAGTAGAACTGTTTTTCATTTAGCCCCAAACAATAATCATAATAAAGAAAAATAATAATAATAACAATATCTTGATATGCATTAATAAATAAACGGGGAAATTCTTAGGCTTAGCAGAAATTCAACAATTATAATGAAAACAGTATATACCTGGAAATACAATAAAAGAAATTAAATGATAGTAGACAAAATAATGAGGTCTGGGATGAGCATTTTATTCTCAGAGTTTTTACTCCCTCTTTCTGCAGGTCAGACGCTGTTAAGGTGCTTTCTGTATTTTGACTTGAAATACAACGGATTACATGCTTTAATGTGGGGTGGAATTTTATTGTATAGATTATATACATTATAAGAGAAAGATCGCATAAAGGAGGCAGTTTTGTGAGCAGGAGACGAAACGAGACCAGCAAATCGCAGATAAAGCGTGTGCACATCTGTTCTAAACTTTATTTTTTTATATAAATATGGTGGAGTCTTTGTCAAAATTATATTATGGAACAGATAACAGGCATGCAACTCTCGACGTTGGGTCATATTAAGCCAATTAGTTTCTTTCAGTTTAAAACTCACTGGCTCATATTTTCTTATGCCATAAATGTATCTTAGACATGATTTTTGTGCTTTTTGAATTCGATTGTTATCTTTCACAGTTAAGCAAGAACCATATATGTAGTATCGCAGAAATTAAAATTTGACAGCACCAAAGCATTCGTTAACATAGTCTTTTGGCTATGTGTTAAAATATGCCTGTGTGGATATAACAATCTAAGACTGCTGCATGTTTTTTTCAAACACTTTGTTACATGGCCTGTAAATCGAAGTTCCGTATCAAGCTGCAATCCTAAACTCCTTGCCGACCGCTTACATTATAAAATCTGATTGTCTATAGTTAACTTTATATATTGCTCCATTTTGTGTCGGTGCTTGCCAAACATCATAATACAGGATTTTTTAGGGTTAATTGTAAGGGAATGCATGCCTGACACGTCAACCAGTTTATCCAAATCAGACTTAATTAGTTCATTAACCGATAGACAATCTTCCGGAAAAAATGAATACCTCAGTTGCGTATCATCCGCATAAAAATATGATTTGCAATGATTTAAAGAGCTAGTTATATTGCAGGTATATATACAATAGAGTAACGGGCCAAGCACAGACCCTTGTGGTACACCACAATGTACAGTTGACAGATCAGAGTCACCCAGATCATTATGGACATATTGTTGCCTTTCACTTAGGAAGTGTCTGAAAAGATTTATTGCTTGAGTATGAAATCCAATATAATGAAGGATATAAAATAACGTGTCATGATCAATGCTATCGAAAGCCTTGGAGTAATCTAAAAGAATCAGTGTAGATGTTTTTCTCAAATCAATGTCTCTCAAAATGTCAACGAGATCTAGCATTGCATTGTTACAACTATACCCGTTTCTAAAGCCTGATTGTCTAGCTGGTAAAATGTCATATTTGTTTAAATAGTCCCTAATTTGATTTGCCATAATTTTCGAAAGGGGTGATAGTATAGAAATTGGTCTTATATCACAGAAATTATTTACTGTAGCTTTTTTAGGAAGTGGGGTTACTCGGGCTATTTTCCACGATCTTGGAGAGACACTATTTAACAACCATGTGTTCACAATGTTCAATATGAAAGGTAATAAATGAGGACAACAGAGTAGCACCATTTAGATTAGATTCTTAGAGGTGGCTTTCGGCCTGATCCACTGCGACCTTCTCAGATCTATTGTGGTCCTCTACTGATCCTTAGATTACATTCTCCAGTCCTATCCTTTTCACAAAGTTTAGCAACTTGGAGACTGAACCCTCCATGTAGCTCCTTGGCAATGGCCTATCATTGCCTATTACCGGGAACCGCACATTTGCCAGGCTGTCACACCGACATAAAATGTGTTCTGACGTTTCTTCTTCAGATTGGCAGAACCTACACATAACTTCGTCTGCCAATCCCATCAGCTTTAGATGCCTATTTAGCTTACAATGCCCTGTTATTAGACCTACTACAGCTTTGACTGTCTTTCTGTCCTTGCTTATCAAGTCTACCGTGAATTTTGGCGAATGTTCTACAATGAACCTTTTCGCCTGTCTCTGCCCTGGTGAGTTTCTCCACCATTCTAGAGATTCGTTGGCCACCCATCGTTCCGTGGCCATTCTCGTGACCGCCTTTGCAACGCCGCAGAAGGGTTCTGGGCCTATGAATGGCATTGATGAGCCTTGCTTGGCCCTTTCATCTGCCTTTTCGTTACCCTTGTGACCCTCGTGCCCTGGCACCCAGGCCAACGTAACAGTGCTACGTTCGCCCAAAGTATTCAGAGCACGCACACAGTCCCACACTAGTCTAGAATTGACCTCCGCGGAGCTGAGTGCCTTTAGCGCCGCTTGGCTGTCTGTGAAGATGGCCACAGAACGATTTGTTCTTTGTTGCCTTATTATTTCTTCTACACAATAGTGGATAGAATAGCACCATTTGAATGTTTAGATCATCTGGACCCATTGCATTTGATTTAATTTCTGTTAAATATTTGATTATAGTTGATTCGTCAACTAGAGAGAATTTAAATAAATCGGAAGTTTCAATGCTAATATTATTATTATAGTAATTAACCAACTCCTTGTTTTTCCGTTTCAACATTTCTCCGATTTTTATAGCATTGTTCTGATCTTCCGGGGGAGTGCACATGATTTTAGTTTTGAAGATGTTCAGCTTAAGGCAGCACCAACTAAGACTCATCCCTGCCTAACTCCTGTATTTGTTAGGAAGGGATCGCTCAGTGATTCATGATATGACACTCTCGACTTGTTGTTAGGAAGGCTTTTACAGAAATTTGTTGGGTAACTCTTTCATAATTACCCAAAGAGCATCTCTGTTCACAGAGTCGAAGGCTTTTGTTAGGTCGATGAATGCAACATAAAATTCAGACTGCTGCTCTTTTACTTTTTCCTGTAGTTGGCGGATGGAGAATATGGAATCGACGGTGCCACGGTTGGTGCGAAAACCCGTTTGCGATTCTGGAAGGATTTATTGCGACTCTGGAAGGAACATCAAGGTGATATTATGAATCGCTGACTCGCGGTCATTGAGAGTTTGTAAAACATTCCATCTTCTCAAGCTTCTTCTTACTCTTTGCGTAATTTCTCTATAGGTTATAGTTAAAATCTCTGCCTTATACTATCTTCACTTCGGATATCTGATTCCAATATAGTTGTTTTATTATTTGGATGTCCTTCTGATCTACCCCGATTTCTCGTAGTCGTGCCAGAAGTAAATCGTGCCTGACATTATCAAAACACTTGACAAACTAAAAAGCGGAAATACTATACCGAATTGAAAAAACAAGACTTTCTTAAAAAGTATAAAATCAATAATATTCATTTCATTCTTAACTGCTGAAATGTTAACTCTGACTGAAATTTATTATAGAAAATTAACCGGTTATTACATACCTATATGTTATATTCAGATACATAAATATAGCGAAATATCACGTCTAGTCTCGATTTGTCTATCTTTCGATCTCACTCGCGCCCTTTAAGTCGACTAGTGAACGTCGCCCAACTTTGCCTATAAATCACAATAATCGGTTAATGTTACTTAACCTCGTGATCTTCGAGGGCCTTATCTACGTACGCAAGATAACACCTGAAGGTAGATCTAGGCTAAAATGTAAACGATTCATTATGCGCCGGCTCGAAGAAAGGGTTGCGATTCGGCTGCACTAAATTATAAAGTTATTACAGAACGACGCCGATCAGACTCGCCGATAGCGTTTGTATAGTTGTTTGATGGGATTTCGGCCAAATTAGTTGGTTAGGATTTATAGAAATGAGAAGGCGAAGTTGTCAAACCTACCTTATAAACAGAAATGTTTTAATAACAATACACAATACCGGGTGCATCTTAAAAGTGGCTCACTCCTATAGCGTTTTTATTTTTTCAGATAAAAAAACGAGATTGGGTATGTTAGTATATGACATAAATTAGGATTGATTGACGTATTCAATTGTTTTCTGTCACTTACTGTTTCGCCGAAAATAACTTCAGCTTTTGATTTTTAAATAGCACCCTCGGTATTTTTTTTTACTTTATTCGATAGAAAATGACATTCTAAATGGAATGACATAACATATGTCAACTTTTGACATTTTTGTTTAACCCTTTAATGCCCGAATTATTTTTTGTAGAAAACTAATATATTTTTTATATTTTTGAGACGATAGAAGGCATAGGTGCATGGTTTGTATAAAAAAAATTACAAAGTTTTAATATTTTTTGTAAAAAATGGTGTTACCATATGGTTACGCTAGGCGTTTGCGAGAACAAATATGGCAAAATGATTAAAACAAAATATAAATGCAAGATAATATTTTATTTAGTATGGAATACAGCAAAACATTCAATGCATAATCCTACATTGCACTTCTGGCACATGGTCCTAACATGAGAAATGCATCCCTCACCCGCACAACGTCTGCGTTTGTTATTTGGAACAGGATTTACCAAATGATTTATGCCGACATAACGAAGTCCGTCGGAAACTCTGTTTAGAGATACTGACATCGGTGATACAGCCGGTCTTCCTGCTCCTCGAGGTGGAACACCATGAGTTTTAAGATAAGTTTGAACGATCGATCTTCGAAATTCTAATTGAGACATACTTCTATTTGATTTTCGGTAAATTTGCCAAGCATTATGAACGCTTACGTCGATAGTCCACGTAAAAAGAGACCACCACCATTTTTTACCACGTACTCCAATACGATATTGGCCAATATTTTGATCCATACGATCTGTTCCCCCCATATAGCTATTGTATTTTGAGATAACATCAGGTCGTTGTACCTGGATATGTTTCTTTTCGGCTTGAGAAAAGCGACAAACATTTTCAATGGGTTCAATTCCAAAGCAAGTAGAGGCTACATCACTACACTATTATCCACCCACCGCACAATGATGATACCATCGCTTTTATCTATAATGGATTCATGGGAGGCTCGTGTTCTTTTAGCCATTGTTTTTTTTTTGTTAGACAGTGGAATATTTTTTGGAAGTCTGTTATCCCTGACCGTTCCAGTGGCCTGATATCCGTTATCTCGAAGAAACTTGAATAAAGTAATTCCGGCGAATAAATTATCAACATATAATTTATATGGATGAAATCCTTTCACATTTACCAATTCATCTAGCATTACTACTAGTGGAGCAGCCGATTTTCCAAATAATGTTTCATACTCTTCACATCGACGAGGATTATTACCCTGGTACATCTCGAAATCAACAACATAACCCGAGGGAGTGTTAAGGCACCACATCTTGTACCCGAAACGGATTGGTTTGCCCCGAATAAACTGTTTGCATCCGTGCCTTCCATAGTATTTAACCACGCTCTCATCAAAACAAAGATGTTCTTCAGGTTCAAATAATTTTAGGCAATTACTTTTTACTTTGTCCATAATTGTGCGCAGTTTCCAAATTTTATCTTTAGCATCGGGTTGTGAATTGTCGGCGAAATGGATAAAACCAGAAAATTTCCAAGAAACGGTTTCGTCGCATAGACTTGTAGACGAGCTCATCTCTCATCTCAGGTCCCTCATCCCAATAAAATATTTTTCCCTGAAGTTCATTATAATCAGTGAGAATGAGGATACCTAAGAAACATTTTATCTCTGCAGCAGTAATTTTGGGATCCGGATGATTCATAAACAGTGCATATTTTCTTGACTACTCTACCAAAAAATTTATGATTTTGTCATCAAAAAATTTCTCGAAAAAGTCAACTGGGGATAAGTCTTTATAATTATTATGTGAAGTATTACAAAAAAGACGCTCAGAAGGGTGCAAGTCTCCTTCAACCCATTCGATATTCTGAATATTGGGACGTTCAAAATTTTTACCTGGTAGTGTTGCCATTTTGTTTGACAATGGAGCTATCTCTTCGTTATTCTCTACCTCCGAGCATCCACCAATTCTGTTGCCATCAGAGGGTTTCAGCTCAGCTGGAGCTCTCAGTTGAGAACTGGATAAATTGTCAATCAAGCCGCCACCATCTTCATCCCCAGAATCTTCATCAGAGAACACTCCGCATTCTGGGGGCTCTATGAAAATATCAGTTACATTTTCGTAATCAATATATGCCATATCTAAAGCTTCCTGGAGAGATAAACCACGTCTGAAATAAAAATTAGTAATTAAAAAATGATTGTAGTATAAACGCCTAGCGTAACCATATGGTTACGATGACGTAAACAGGATCATAGCTCCCACAAGCAATATTTAAAACTTTGTTAATCTACCTAAATATATTCCCACAGGTGTTTATTTGTTATATCTAAACAATTACATTTATATATGAACTAATAACCTAGTTATACTTACTCAAATCTGGGCTCCATCGCACTTTTCACAATAAAAAATTTGAGCCGAAACAAAACCGTTGTATCAATGTAACATGAAGCAAAGAACTGATTTACCGGCCAAAACTCTACGTGTTTAATCGTATTTAAAGAGTCCGTAGTGCCATCTATTAAGATAGAGCTCAAGTAATGACATATTTCAGCTTAGATCACATCCCCGTAGCTGTAACCGTATGCTTACGCTAGGCGCTAATGGGTTAAAACAAAATTGAATTTTAAATTTCATTCTAGAGTGCCATTGCTGTGTTAAAAACACTAATTTTTAATCAGGGAGCCTTGGAAAAATAGATTTGATCGTCTAATGTTATTCGTGTCTTGCCCAGGCCGGTTAAAAGATGCCCAAATCGTATTTTTAATCATATCTTAATTTTTTCAAATAAAACGAGGGTGGCTCATTAGCATATTTGGAAAAAGCATTTTTTTACGAATAATTTGGTACCACACGCTTGGTATTTCGAATTTTTTTCGAAAAATATTTTATGAATCGCATGTTGGCAATTTTCCAAGTGGTAACCAACTCAAGGCGGAACTCAAGAACTTGGAAGATTCCATCCGCAACCTGGAATGGAAATCTTAGTCTGGAGTGTCTAAGACACTTTGGAGTGTCTAAGACACTCGAAGAAGTTTGTGAGGGCTTATGATCAAGAAAAATCACAGATCTTCTTGGGTCTGAGTAAGAACAATCTTCGGATTGTCACGAGGTTTTTAACAGGACACTGTCTCCTCAATGAACACCTCAGTATATTGAAACTAAGAAGAAACGGCGAATGCAGATTCTGTGGGGAAGATGGGGAAACACCAGTACACCTCATAACTGAGTGCGCCGAGACGACAACCATTCGTGCCATGAATTTTGGTACGACTGATATTGGAGATGGAGAACTACCCTCTATAAAACCGTCCCAGATACTGGCTTTTGTCAAAGCCCTGGGACTGTATGATGAGTTATGATTCAAGAAAGGGGGACACAATGGATCTGTAAGGTCGAAGTGATTAACCCCCCTCCCACTCATTCTAAATTCTAAATTCTAATGTTGCAATTTCAAATAAACCATATTCGAAAATGTCAAAAGTTGACATCTGATATGTCATTCTATTAAGAGTATCATTTTTTATCGAATAAAGCAACAAAACATCGAGGGTACAATTTAAAAATCCAAAGTTGTAGTAATTTCTGATGGAACAGGAAGTGACAGGAAACAATCAATCAATCAATCCTAATTCATCAATCGAATAATCCTATCAATCCTAATTTATGTCATATATTAATCTACCAAATCTCGATTTTTTATCTAAAAAATTGTAGCCGGGAGGCACGTATAGCCGCCCATACTTGATATTTTTTTATCTCAAAAACTGCGACTTTGACTGATTTTGATGTTATTACAAATTTTGTTGCAAATATTATTCCTAATCTTAAATTGAAAACCGCGTTTCCCTAGCTACTGTAATTTTTGAGTTACGATTTTTTAAAATTTTTAATCCCCTCCCATACCCCTTTTCCAACCCTCCACCCCCACCAAAAACTAATGTCCAGATTCTCGGGTGCCACAGTACATTTTGTCAGCGGTGCCAGTTTACCCTAAGCGGACGTTATCTTAAGGAAATACTTTACCTTTTATAATAAGCAGAATAAACGAAATCAGTTAATTAGATAAATATACATTATTACAATAAGAACTACGTCAACATATTAGCATATTATATATAATTATGTATGCTGAAATGAACTAAAATATATTCAATTTATATGTAATATCGAGCAACTTTGCTTTTCTATCATTAAACGTGACAACATTGACTTTTTTTGCCCGAATTCCTTCCGCTGTTTTAGATTCGTTTGTCAGATAATATTTTTGTGTCCAGTTTGGTTAAAATTGGTTTAGCGGTTTTTGAGTTATCGTGTTACAGACGAACAGACAGACAGACAGATACACATGATGAAAATATTTTGTATTTAGGTCATTTATGACCCAAATAACTCATTTTGAGTGAAATTAAAAAACTTGATAGAAAAAAAGAATGATAGGAAAACAATATAACATACGAACATCGTTCAAAACACAAAATACACATAGGTCCATTTTAACCCACACTAAACCAATGAACATTGGACAACAAAAAAAAATTTACCAACATACCATGTGAATGTGATAAATTTTATATTCGTGAAAGAATCTAGACCCTGAAGAGTCTATTTTGTACGCTGTACTTTCGGTACGCTGTACTTACGCTCTACTTAGGTTTTAAATTTTGAAAATCAAGTGAGGTTAAAATACTATTTAAATTTGTAATTAAAGTATATAATTAAATTAAGGGAAATATTACAGATATTGAAAATTACTTACCCCAAAATAAAAGTATACAAGCCTGGGTAACTTATCCAACAGCAGCAGCTGAGCACGGCAATGTTGGACAGGGTTGAATAGGATGAAATCCAGGAACTACTGCTACATCAGCAAGGAAACGAATCTTCGATGAGTTGGAAAACAGGATGGATGTCTCTGTACCATGTGATAACGTGCAAGTGAATGTAAAAATAAAACCATCAAAGCAAGAAAGGAAAACCAGGAAAAAGTAAAAACCAGAAAGAAAAAACAAAACCCTGTGGACAATATTTAAATTAATATTTGTGGATTTTAGGTTATGATACCCCAAAGCGTAACTAACAACTCATCCAGCTACCATCGATAATTAACAAAATTAGTGGATCCATTCCAAAATTGTCCCAATATAATGAAAATTATTGAAAGAATAAGAATAGAAAAAAGCACAAAACGTGAATAAGTTAACTTACCAAATATCTGGCCACATGGCCCACCAAAAAAAAACAAATCTATTTTGGTTCAGGCAAACCCTTGTAAAAATTTATAATATTCTCCAACAGCATCCAAAAATTCCACTAGCAACCCCCACAGGAACCATACAGGCAAGGATTCCACCAAAAAAGACGCCAAGATGGCGATCGGAGGGAAAGGAACATAATCTTCGACCAAAATGAACCTTCAAAGATTTCATTTCAATACAGAAATTACATCAGAAAACGGAAGTTAGCGACGTTGCCGTACAGACCAAATAAAGAGGTATTTTGGGGAAAAATATTAGAAAGGTAAATTGAAAAGAAACTGTAAACACTGCGTAGCTCACCCGCTGCTGTTAAATATATATAAAATAATTATAAAGACATATTGAAGTATTATAATTAATTAAGAGAAATTTATAAACAACTAATAAAAAGAGAAAGGGCTATTATTAAAAAAGGTAGCAAGTTTAAAAAACATGCTACAAGTTAATCATCAGCTGATAATGCGGTAGCATAGCTAAAGAAATGCATATACGCTCAGATTACAAAGTAAAGTTTTTCGAAAAATTGTATTAACTTAGTGTTACTCTGTTGTACCACAGCTCCTATCTCAACTATACAGGGTGAGCCTTAAATAAGTGCCAATATTTTTAGGGGTAGACGATATTTCGACACCAGAAACACGCCTATGAGGTTTTCTTCGCAAAATAATGAAAATTCGGAGTTGTTTGAAAAATAAAATCATTTTTTTTTTAATTTTAAATTAAAAAGCACAATATCTTTATAATATGGCAGCATAGGTAGCAGATTAAGTTTACAAGAAATTATTTAAAACTCACCCCGTATTTTAAATTTAATAATCTATATTAATATTTGAATATATAAAATCCTTAAGTGACTGACTCACTGATTAATCACGATCCTGCTCAAACCACTCAACGTAAGAAGCTCAATTTTGGTATACAGGTTGATTCTAGGGTGTAGAGATTCGAATAGAAGGGATTTTTCGAAATTCCAGTTCCAAGGGAAACCACCCCTCAAATATTACAATATTTTTATTTTAAAAACGGTCAAGTTTCCGAAAAAAACGTTTAAACACGTATATTTTATTTTGTTTTTTACATATTTTAAGATTTTTTAAAAATGTATACAGGGTGTTTCGAAAAATCTGGTCATTGATTAATCACGATCCTGCTTAAAGAGCTAGACGTAAAAAGCTGATTTTTGGAAAACGGATTGACTTTGAACCCCTTGAATATTAGTATATATTTTATTTAAAAACCGGTGAGTTTTTCGGAAAAACTCTTAAACACGTATATTTTATTTTGTTGTTTTACATATTTTAAGATTTTTTAAA